GTTGATGATGTATGACTCTAAAATCGCTAGTGTTAATCTTTGATATGGTTTATTTTATTTTTATTTGAGTTTTTGGAGTGTTTTTGAGTTATTTAATTATTTTAATTATTTTTATGAATGCTGGTAATAATTATTATAATTTTATCATAATGGAGAAAAAAAAATTTTGTGCTTTAGAGAGAAAAATAGAGTTTTCAATAAAATAGATAGGCGGGTGGAATTAGGGAGAGTTGAGGGGAATTTTCAAAATTAATTAAAATAAAACAGAATTAGATTTTATTTATTTAAATAGAAAAGTTGAGAGAGAGTTTAATTAGTAAGTGTTTTTTTTTGGTGAAGAGAGACAAGAGAAGAGAAATCCTAGGAAAGCTTTTGGAAGGAGAAGAGAGAACCTTCTAGCCAAAGCTTCAAGTTTGGTGCAAATTTGAGGTAGGGGGAATTGTTCATGCTATGGGTGTTTAAGCAAAAAGGATAGAAGGGAATCCTTAACCCCTTTCCTTTTTTCTTTCTTTTTTCCTTCATTTTTTAGGGATTTGAATCTTAAGATTGTTTGCACAAAACCTCTCTAGATTATTATGATATAAATATGTTTTCGTGCTCCGATAATTGCTGAATTTCATGTGTATCCCTGTGTCTAATTATGAGTTTTGAGGTTCACAAATATATTCTTTAAATTGATAAACATCATGATGGTTTTATGTTGAATTTATGATTAATGATAATGAAAATTGTAGCCTTATAAGTTGAATACTGTATATAGATGATTAGGTATGATCATTCATACTCAAAACTGGATTGGGATAGGTCTAATGTGAAGAAATTAGGTTTTAGAGTGAAATTCTCATGAAAAAGTTGCAGAAATTTGGTATTTTTCGTTATGGGCTATGTGGTAATCAATTACCACGTAATGGTAATCGATTACTAGCACAAAAACTGAGTTTTTACTATTTCGAGGTCGATAATCGATTACCACGTACCAGTAATCAATTACTGCAATCTGAAATTGAAATTTTTGAAATGAAACCAAAAATGGCCTAAATTGAGTTCCGTAACTCGCATTGAGACGCGGTTAGAAGCGTTGGAAAGCTAAGACAAAATATATTTCTTAGGGAAATGAATTCATTATGTGTATATGTGTTGGTTATGTTGATAATTTGATATGTTTTAGAGTTGAGTTGAGTTGTTCAAAATGTTTAGAGTTGAGTTTGAGTAGTAAATGAGTTGAATTAGAGTTGTCCTTGAGATTGTAAAGAATATGCCTATAAACATTAACCTTTTAGTAGAAATTGTTAGAGTTAAATGAGATGTTCTGTTGCTGTTATGAACATTTAAGTATTGAAGGTTGTCTGATGTTGTTTTGATGTTGTAGATGAGTAGTGATGAGAAATTAAATAATTTTAATTATTATGTTAAGATTATGATGAAAGGCACATAAGGAAGAAAAATGTTAAGTTATGTTGAGATGTTTAATTCAGAGAGGAACCATTATTATGGCCTTGTATTGGCGATGTTCATGCTGAGTTTAAGGTTCATAGAGGAACCAATGACGAGTATTAGAGTCAGAGGTTTGAGACAAGTATTGCATTTGTTGGTTGCATTCATGCATCATGTATATTAGGATAGGTAGGACTTCGGTCCATTGACGAGTTAGGACTTCGATCAAATGATGAGTCTCAGGTTCATAGAGGAACCAGTGGCGAGTTGCATGGTCTAGAGAGGAACCAGTGACGAGTGGATGAATCAATAACATACCTCTGATATCAAAAACCTTGGTACCATATGCATTAGTGTACATGAGATGAATACATTGCATACATAACCACATTTGTGATTGATTATTGTTATGGATAATTTATGTGATTGATAATTGTTATTAATTGCATTACCCTTGTTGTTTTATCCACCACTGATATATTTGAATGTATTCTCACCCCCTGTTTGTTTATCTGTGTCGTTCTTTACGATTGTGGTGAATATATACAAGTAGATGAGCCTTAGTTGCTTTTGTGTTTCGGAGGATGATGTAGTGGCCTTCTTCACCATTTATCGTTTTTGAGTTTATTTTAGTTTCTGTGTGTCACTTTAATAGTGTAACACTGGAACATGTTACCTTTTCATTTTGTGTTCTGAGAGTTATTGAACTAGTTCTTTTATGATTTGAAATGAAGTTGATTTTTATATACGAGACAATTAAATTTGAGTTGTTATTATTTATTTCCACTGCTATAATATGATAATTGAGGAAGATTTTTATGCTGAGAAAATATGACACCCTATTTTGGAGTAAATTATCCACATGTTTTATAAATTAAATGTGTGGGGTTTAGGGTGTTACAATATACGCCCATAGGGTTTACTTTTTTCCCTGAGTAACTCTGCTCAGAGCGACCATGATGGTTGGTTGTCTTTTTCTAGCACTGAAGTGGGCGGTGAGAGCTTCACATAGATTGGATTAGTAATTTATGCTTCTTTCTAAGAGGGACTTAAACTAGTCTTTAGCGGACTCAGTCAAGGTCAATGCAAAGAGATTTCACTTTACATCAATGTGAGTGTGGTACTAATACACATTATCAATGTGCTCATTAAGATTTCTGTTTTTTTATTTGTAACTCTGAAGTTTTAGGGGTTTCTCTAGAGACTTTAGAATCTTGCTTTCCAATATGAAAATGGTCAAAGGATTCTTCTTTCTCAACTACACATAGTTATCCCCTTCATTCCTTTCTCTTCTCCTTGGTCAGCGAGTCTCGAAGGTAGTATGGATATATTTTCTCCTTTCAAGACCTAAGGTAGGAGTACGAAGCTTATGTTGTTAGTGGTTCAGGTATTTTCTGACCTCATTTGGATCCTTTCTTGCTTAAGAGAATTTATGCAAAACCGCCTCTTGAAAAATGTTGTTCTTCAAGATAATAGTGTGCATGCTCTCTTTGATTTAAGTCAATCTGTCTTCCAAGACCTTGGACTTTTTTTCCTGGTGAATCATCTAAAACACATCGTTCAACAGCTCATTAGTTCATTACATGCTGAGACTAGCCTGTAAGAGTTGAAAGATGCGAACCGCCTCACATTCGGTTACTGTAGGAGACAATGTAAGTTTAGGGAGGGATCACTATGTGGAGTTATGGGGCAAATTTTAAGAATGGAGGGAATTAAGAAGTTCCTTGATCTAATTCAGATTAACAAAATTTGGTAGTGAAGTAATAGAAGAAGTAGTTTTTGAGATGTGGTTACCCATCATTCGAAAAGGAAGAGGAGGATTTCTTACAACTTCAACAATTGCAACGACTTGTCATTGAACAAAGAAACATATGGCTTTTAATACCGTCGTCGTCTGGTATATCTAATATGAAGAGTTCGACTTTGAGATTAAGGTAGATAACATGAAGATAGAGATCCTCACTTCAATTGAAGGATATTTGAATCTAATTCAATAAAATAGAGAAATGACGAATTGTGGAAATCGTAGGAATCAAAGTTTGATTCTCACATATGGTGATAATGTTTTGTTCTAGAACTAAATAATGATCGGAGGAGTTAAACTAATGGTATTCTGCAGTGGTTCAAAGTTCCGATGCGGTGAAGCGATGAGTGACCTGCAAGGTTATCACTTCAATGCTCAAGTCAGCAAGGAAGTATGAGTGAAATTTTGATGAAAAATATATTCAATACCTCAGAAATTACACAATCATCCCTTTAAATAGAAGGCTTAGTTAGCAATTGAATGCGTGTATGAGCGTGAAATGCGGTTGATCATCAGATACACGTGGATGATGAGGAAGGACATCACAAGTAAGTTCCCTTAAGAAGTCAGGGAGATGAAATCTATCTATTCCTTGTCTCGTTGTTTTGAATTTTCCCAATATTAGGTTTCTGTGCCTCTTTGGACCTTATGGACGGTCCAGAACACCATGGCTAACTTAGGGATGTTCGTGAGAATATAAACGAAGCTGATGTAGGGGTGGGGAATTCTTTAGTGTCGACGATTTATGAGAATCCTGACTTCCCATGTGTTGATCCTCTAAAAATCAATAGTCTCAACCCCAATTGCATTGTATTAAGTGATAGCTCTAAATTTGGAGGAGGTTTCGGTGAGAGTGAAGACAAACCTCTTAGCTCTTCTAAAAGGGATGGAGATGGAACCTCCTGTAATCTGCCTTATATAGATTTTGGGTTCTACTATTGGGTGAGTCCTTAGTTATTGGACACAATTTATGTTTTTAATTATGCATAATAGGTGGAGGAAGCTGAACTAGATGTGGATCCTTCTTTGGATTGGCAAGTTACACACACTGAAAATGGTAAAAGGATTTTCAACTCTTTTAATAAGTGGTATGTCCTCTTTTACAACTTTCTCTACATTCGACTAAGACTCAGGTTACCCCTTTATGTTTATAATATTGTTTTGATTTGATTCAATTTAAATTAAAAAAATAAAATTATTAAAAATATTTGATTTTCATTATGACTGTCTATAAAATCATGTCTTTAAATGATTGTGATCTGGAGAGAATACATGATAATTAAACTCTAACTTTTAAATTTGAAAATGGAATTTTATCTTCAAAAACATAACAATTATAATATTTTGAATTAGTTTCGATATATTTCTCCATAATTTGGAGTTTCTATTATAGAATGATCATCTAAGATTTTAATTCTAAACAAAATTATAAAATATTAATTTATTCTATATTACTCAATGTTATGTTAAGAGAGGCAATTGTTTGATTTATAAAATATAAATAAGAAAAAAAAGGTAAACTAAAAAAGTGTCTTTACTAGACTCCTAAAACTTACCCAAAAGATTTATTTAAACAAATTAAATTGATAGCTGTTTTTTCATGCCACAAGAAAAAAACTCCAAATGTACATTTTTTTCACTACTTTATTTTATAATTTTTTTAGCATTAATTAGATCACAACTTATTTTTCTTTCAAAAATTTATTAATACCCTTAAAATATAGAATTCCTATTGTCTTTCTCCACCACACTTAAGCCACCTCTAGATCTTTAACCCCTTATGTATCACTGGAAGCTTGTTTCTAACCCATTCCACATAACCTCCTCCCATATCCTTCACATTCTTAAAACCCTATTCATTATCAAACCAATCCATGTTAATTTCTTTTAAATTGAAAAATAGCATAAAAGAAAGTACAATTAATTTACTACATTACAATTAATTAACTTACATCAGCTAGTAGATCAGATGTTGCAGATAGAGATCTCACCCCAATTTGGCAACCCTAAAATTGTTTTTTTTTTTCTTTTTAATTTGTAAGGGAAATAATTGGAAAATGTAAATGACAAAAAAAAAAAAATAGTTGCCACATACCACAATGATATGATCTTCTTTGTTGAATACAAATGAAACTTCCTTTAGAAAATTAGGGTTCTTCACCTTGCCTGGTCTCCAAAAACACAATATACATCTTAAATTTTTTTAAACTTATTGCTAAACCAAAAACAAATTACTCTATAATTATTCTTTTTTAATATGAGAGAGTGAAAAGTTTGTTACCCTTTGGTGTATCCAATATATATGGAACATTAAAGATATTAGCTGCATCCACATGCCCTTTCAAAAACTCTTCCACCGTCCTATAAATTACCAAATAATTTAGATTAAAATTTGAGATATATATATATATATATATATATATATATATATATATATATATATATATATATATATATATATATATATATATATATATATATATATATATATATATATATATATATATATATATATATATATATATATATATATAGCTAGGTTACCTAACATCAAGATAATTGTGATATGTCTGGATGAGATTCTTGGCTGCTTGTACATCAATAGTCACAACCTCTGCTCCTGAGCTACACAACACAAAGAGAAAATGAAGAAGAAGATGGAGAAATGCCAAACAATGAGTCATTTATGTGATTTTGGTTAAAAGTCACCACATTCAAATTCTTTTGAAGCTGTGAAAAATACAAGCACGCATGCTATTTATTTGTAAGCAGCATGTTGGTTTTGTTAGAAATCTAGGGTCTACGTTGCCTGGTTTAAAATTCGAAAGTGACTTAATATTGAAATATAAAATAGAGAGTGAATAAATGAATGGTATGACAAAAATTACTATATAACTGCTAATGGAAATATGGTATGCCTATGATGTTTGAAAAGGACATTGTTTGTTGATTACGATTTTTCTTCTAGAAGCTTGGTTGGAAGTATAATGACATTTAATAAAGTATTAGGTTGTAGTTCTACATATAAAAGTTAGGCAAGACTTAGATCTTATGATATAGTTTTTTGTTGTTTTATGAAACACTAAGGATGTCTAGATCGGTGATGTAGTCTCCAAATGAGGGGAAGAATATGCGAAGACATTAACATGTCAAAGGAAAATAGGGTATAAGCAAAATTATATCTGAAATGATACAATAAATTGGTGCGTTACTCGAATTTGGATCTAATACTACTGATGTGTTATTATGAGGGAAAAACAATCACAATGGATCAAATAGTCACATACAGATCAAAGACTCACTCAAACAAGTAAGAGAGACATTACATATTTATCCAAAATCTTAAAATTATAGGTGTATGTGTCCTCTTACTTATAAAGTGTTTAACCTTTCATTTTTTAAGCAACGTGAGACTTATAACTCACATTTGTTTTTCAACACAACTCACACATGTTTCTTAACATAAACCCCTATTTATAGAGTATTTGAGCTTATGCACGTTTTTTGCCAAATTAAATAGACATTATACACAACTTTGGGAACATATTCTCTACAATGGATATTTTTTACAGAGGAATTTGAACCTTTGATTTATTTACATTTTATTTAACTTAAAAAAAAGTCACTCCAATAAACGGTGGATATATGCACGGGATATTGTTTAGTGAAAAACTTATCGAAGAGAATTCTCTCTCCAAAACTGTGTATATGCTAGTTAAGATAGGCGGAGACACATCTTAATTCAAGTATGCAACATTGTTGAGGCAATTTTGGCCTTCTATAATCCTTATCTTCCTGATTGATTTATGTGCATTCAACGGTAGTCTACATTTCATGTTGGATCATCTTAAATCAATTTTATTGTCTTATGATTTCATAGTTTCACATCTCTCGAACACTAATTTCAATATTGGAGTTCTAAAGTTACAAGTATCCTTCCTCTTAGATCACCAGAGTTCTCAACCACTGTACCGAAAAGCCTTTTCACGATGGTCATTTTCAACCTCTCATCCAATATTTTTTGCAATACAAAATAATGACGGCGTCGTCGAGAATCGTCCTTTGATTCTCGTGATTTTTCTTCATATTTCTCTAATTTCACCATTGCGTTGATGCAACTGCCACTGTAACCATTTTTGTTATCTGTTACAAGTTAATCTCTTCGATCATTATTAACCTTGTTGTGAATTACGACAAAATTCAATATCAATTTATGAGTCAAAGAACAATAGCAACCAAAATAAATGGTCTTCAGCAATAATAATTCGTACACAGATAATATAACAGAATAAGACAAGAAAAAACCGAATGTTTGTTTATTCAATTCGATCAAACGATCTACTCTTGGGGAGAGAGCAACTCTCCAATTCACTATACTCAGAAAGTTGTTACAAGATATTACAAATGAGTTACAAGAAAATAGTCTTCACCTTCAGGTTCCCGAGAACAACTCTGAAGGCGCCCAAGAACAAACCTATTTTCTAGCTAAATGTTTCCCTACCTCTGCAACTCTCAATATATGAATCACTCCAATCCAAAGTATAATCCAATGTTTTCTTTGTGCATAGCTGAAACCCTATGTTATACCTTTAAATCCTTGGTCTTCCTTGTTGGTGAAAATTCTAAGATTGTCACACACCAAGCATATAAGAGGTACATATTTATAATAGCAAATACCCAACAAACAAAACCCAAAATGACATGGATCCATGGACCAAATCGAAAAAGCCCGAAAACTTGAAAACACTATTCACCGTACGAACAATACTATTCAATGTACGGACGCCACTATTCATCAGTGCGGACGATACTATTCACTGACCGATTTTTTTTCTCGGCTTTTCGTCCGATTTTCGCGGTAAATGCAATCTCCAAATTATATTTTCTTTCTCTTCATCAACAAAAGTTTTAAGGCACATTTACAACAAACCTTCTTCAAACATGATTGTTTTATGATTCCTTCTTCGATGGCCAGTTCTAAGGCAACTCGATCAATGACTCACCGTAATGTCATTCTCGTTCCTGATGTCTAATCAACAATTCATATTTTCCAAGATAATTTAATACCAATTCTCACTTACACAACTGAAAAACTTCTGCAACACTAAGACCCATAAGCTTTGATCATAACACTGTATCATAACACAACTTCTTAGCTGATTACTCAAAAGACTTTTCGAATTCCTTTTTTCCAGTATTAGTTTTACTCCTTCTGCCACAAAATTTACTTCTTCCTATTCCACATTTCCAATCCTTAAGAACAGAACTATCACATTACATTCAATAACTCCAAGCCTCACTTGGAATACCCGGTGCAACAACAGAATGTAAGACTCTTTCAACCTGGTGCAACAACAGAATGTAAGACTCTTTCATGTTGAATAAAACCAATAAAAAAATTCTTACTCATATCGCAATTCATCTAGAGGTCTTACAACATGGCCCTTCCATAGTTTCTCTTAGGGGCACTTCCGTCATTGCTGGGTTGTAACTAAAAATAGTGTAATAGTTTCACAAAAGACATCATTGTCATCACCGCAGTCACAATTATCCTCTTTGTGACTCTGAAGGTGGAAACAACAGCCACATACCACCTAAGGGCCATTGTCCTAGGATATTTTCCTCCCACTAATCTCATAGGGGAAACAAGCACGATACTAGCTACCACGCCTCTTCCCACCATAGAAATAGTGTTCACCAAACACATCATATTTTCAGAATTTCTATGTCTTTAAAGAAGCCACAAAAGTTGGAAACCTATAACATGACATGAGATAGTGATGAACAACTGTGCTTGTGGACATTATACTTGATTATCATTATGACAAAAGTTCGGTGAAATGCAAACTTTTTGTATTGACCTTCGAAGGAGCTTACATGACCTGGTTCAAAACTTTGGAAGTCAATCCCATCAACTATATGATAAATTTATATGATGCATTTAGTTCTCAATTCAAATAAAGAAGACTTTAGCCAAAGATAACGATCGTTATCAACGAAATTTATAAGAGGAATACGAAGACACCTCAGGAGTATTGAATTAATGACTCCAAACATAAGAGATGGATGGGGTGAATTTTGATATTCAAATTTAAAAATGTGGTTTATAAAAATGATTTGATTTGAAAATAATTTATGTTAGAAGAGAGAAATAAATAAAGATAAAGCAATGGGAATAATAGAAGTGAGAAGATATAAAGAAATAAGGAATGAAATAAAGTAATTGACAAAAGTAAAAGAGAAAGGGATAGAAATATCACATCAGAGATTTTTCGAGTTCAACCTAAACCATGTGACTTACTCCAGCCCCAAGAGTTTTCTCTTGAGATTTCCATTGAAAAAATTTAAACTTTTGTACATGTTCAGCTAAAAGCCTTTGACAAACAACTTGAGCTTTTGTATAGGATCGACCCAATAACCTTTCATAAATAACCTTGAGCTTTTGCACAAGATCAACACAAACAATATTAACTAACATATCTAGAGTTTTTGCACATGTTTAGGTCAATAACCTTAAGCCAATTTTTTATTTATTTACAATTTTAGCTTGCAACCTTCGAATCTATTACAAAACAATCGCAAAGATAACTACACTCTTGAATAAACAATTATAACACACCATCAACATAACTCTAAGATGATACTTTTTCACTCTTAAAGCACTAAGGTAACCAAGTGAAAAAAACTATATAAAATAATGAGTAGTAGTAGTATAAGATATTATTTTATTCAAAAAAGCGGTGTATTGAAAAGTGAGGAAATACCTCATTTATATAGAAAAATATCTAGCTCAAAAAAACAATAATCCATGGGCCTTTTAAAAATTTAATAAATTAAAACCATGTCTTAATCAATTAGCTTAAGGCAAAAAATAAAACATTGAATTTCGACAGCACTTAATCAATTACAAGTATTTTTAATTGATTAAGATGTGTTATACTTTGTTTTAATCAATTATAAGAAAGACTTAATCGATTAAGCAGAGTATTTTTCCTTCCTACTTAATCAAACAAGCTTCATAATCTTTTAATCACTTGCCTAGATTAGCTTTAAAAAGTTTTTTAAAAATGAGAAGCTTAAAAAAAAAATTGTATGTGTGTGTGTTATCATAGTACCTCAAGACCTACGCTTCCTTCATTTACAATTAACTGATCAAAAACAAGATAAAACACTAAGCTTAAAATCAAGCAAGCTTTCACAATTTCACACTTCAGGTTCACATCTTCACAATTTCAATATCTTTTGCTTGATTAAGCTTTATCTAGCACTTGATTTAAACTTTGTATACCAACTTCAAGTTCTTTAGGAAAAGATTTTGTAAAAATACCTTTCAATTTTTTTAGATGAAGACACAAACTCAATTACATAATCCTTTTTTTTACATGATCCCTAATAGAATGGTGTATAATCTCGATGTGTTTTGTCTATAGTGAAGTACCAGATTCTTGGTGAGGTTTATAGTGCTAATATTGTAACATTTTATCAGGACAGTTTTGACATTAACTTCATAATCACTTAACTTATATTTCATCCAGATAACTTGTGCACAACAGTTACTCGCAGCGAAATATTCTACTTTAGTTACTGATAACCTAACAATTTCTTGTTTCTTGCTATGCTAAGTGACTGACGTGTTTTCGAGCAAATGACATGTACCATTGGTACTTCTAATCCAATTTATGAC